AAAATATTTCAACACTTGTACTTATCTTTTTGAACTTCACCCCACTCTTCACTTCTTTAGTCCCCTACACCCAATTCGATCACCACATTAGGAAATATCAAAGACTTCCTTTTATCGTTATCCTCATATTCAACAATAATAGACATTGTGAAGCTCCGTCAGCCACTATTAACCATCCAGGTTCCCTTTATTAATTTCATATCACCTTGCTATTATTGTCTTTTGTTTTCCTCTTTTTTCCTGTTAAAATCCTATAATTATTATCATTTACTAGACTTATTATCTTAAAAAGAAATTAATTTTTTAAGGGTCACGATCTTCCATCATTCTCTGCCTTCCAAATCTAAAAGGAAAGCATGTTTGAAAAAAATTGTGTCCAATCATTAAAATATTTAAGTTGTTGATGAATATTTCTCATTTAGATGACAAGGTTTTCTTAATTTTAGGCATGTCTTCTCCAAGAAAAAGCTTAATACGCTTTCTATATAGCTTGTGACACTTTGATAGATTCTCTACACAAGGCTGCAAGCACCCATTTTTCCTCATAAGGGTGAAGTCTGCTAGGAGATTTTTATTTGCTAGGCAGCAATACCTTATTATCGAACACTCATTACTGTTATAGATTGAAGATGGATGACACCTTTTAAATTTCTTGATTTTCATTGAAAATGAAACTTTGTTGTTGAAGATTAAAACTTTACTCTCTATTTCTTTCCTCTTTGTGTAAATTTTATTGTCAAGTAAGAATTTAATATGGTTAGTCTTTTTTTTTTTTTGGTTAAAGCTACTAAATGATTGATTTGAGATAGTTTATTTTATTGCTTGACAGTAATTTAGTTTGGTTATTGGGAATGAAAGTCTATAACTATTGAATTGTTTATTGTTAAAACAGTAATGATATATTGTTGATATTATAATTTTAATTATAAATTAGAAAATGGTGCAAAATTTAGTTGAAATCTAGAAATATTGAACTTTTTGTTGTTAGAATAGTAATGATATATTATTGATATTATAATTGTAATTATGAATTTAAAATTAAGAATAAAAATTATTTTAAATGGTTGCAGGTTGATATGATAGATGACAAGTAATAGATAATAGATTTTTCCACATCAATCTTCCTCCATCCGTCATTGACTAGCTGTCCTCCAGGGAGGCCATGAAGCAGGAGAATAGAATCAGAATTTCAAAACTAAAAAGTTTATCATTGTTCTAGATATGTCAAGGCTTCTCACACTTGCAAGACTTGCAAGAATCAAAATTCAAGCTGAAAAAGTAGGGAAACATGCAACGATATGATGCAAACAGATGTAAAATTTGATAAGAGTACTTATTGCTGCAATAACAAGTATTAGTATGAAATTAGGTGAAATTAATGTTGTGCATGTATTAGTTGCTACAATATAATGGCAATATTTGTTAATTCAGGAATGATTTGTTGTTAAAATGGGAAAGGCAATTGTTTTTTCTCGAAAGGTAATTTGTTCTTTGGATTTCAACACTTGGTTTTATTAATGAAAATGACTATTTTTTGAACTTATTAATTAATAAATTGATTGTTGCTAAAAGGGAATGATGACTTGTTATTTTCTAAGTGATGACTTGTTCACTAAACCAAGACAGTTGTTGCTCTCTTTCAAATGATTAATGTTTTAGACTTTTTCATTAAGAAGTTAATTGTTATTAAAACGGAAGGATGACTTGTGATTTCCCAAATAATGACGTGTTCATTAGACTAAGACATTGTTTACTCTCCATCAAATGGTCACTTGTTTACCAGATAGTGACAGCTATTGCTCTCCTATAAACATTTTAATTTTTTGCACTAGTTAATTAGGGAATTTATTCTTATTAAAATTGAACAAAGTCTTGCTTTTCTCAAATGGTCACTTGTTCACTAGACAATGACAATTGTTGCTCCCCATGAGCATTTTAATTTTGTGCACTAGTTAATTAAAAAATTTATTCTTGTTAACTTCAAATAGAGTCTTGTTGTTTTACAAATGATCATTTGTTCATCACACTAAAACTCTTATTTATTTCCATAATTTTATGCACTTATTAATTAAGAAATCATTTGTTGTTAAAATAGAATGGAGTTTTGTTTTTTTGCAAATGATCACTTGTTCATCAGACAAAAATAGTTGTTGCTCTCCACGAACATTTTAATTTTTTACACTTATTAATTAGCGACTTTATTCATGTTGAAATCAAACAAAGTCTTGTTTTTTTTTTTCAAATAGTCACTTGTTCTTTGTTGTTTTCCATGAACATTTTAATTTTCTGCACTAATTAATTAGGAAATTTATTCTCATTAAAATCAAATGGAGTCTTGTTTTTTTTTTCACAAATGGTTACTTGTTCACAATATCAGAACACTTGTTGATCTCCATAATTTTCTGCACTTATTAATTAGGGTATTATCTGTTGTTAAAATAGAATGAAGTTTTATCTTTTGTGAATAATCACTTGTTTACCAGACAATAATAGTTGTTACACTCTATGAACATTTTAATTTTATGCATGTGTTAATTAAGGAATTTATTCTTATTAAATTTAAATAGAGCCTTGTTTTTTCTCAAGTGGTGGTTCACCATACAATGACAATTGTTGCTTGTCATGAACATTTTAATTTTTTACACTAGTTAATTAGGTGATTTATTCTTATTAAAATCAAATGGAGTCTTGCTTTTTTGCAAATGGTCACTTGTTCATTATATCAAAACACTTCTTGATCTCCATAATTCTCCCCACTTATTAATTAGGGAATTATTTGTTGTTAAAATAGAATGGAGTTTTGTTTTTCACGAATGATCACTTTTTCACCATACAAAAATAGTTGTTGCTTTTCATGAACATTTTAATTTTTCAGACTTATTAATTAGAGACTTTATTCTTGTTAAAATCAAATGGAGTCTTGTTTTTCTCAAATGATCGCTTGTTTTTGTTATTCCCCATGAACATTTTAATGTTTTGCATTAATTAATTAGGAAATTTGTTTTTACTAAAATCGAATGGAGTCTTTTTTTTTACACAAATGGTCACTTATTCACCAGATTAAAACCCTTACTGCTCTCCATGAACATTTTCATTTTTTGAACTTGTTAATTAGATAATTTAGTCTTGTTAAAATCAAACGGAGGCTATATCCTTGTCAATTGCTTATTACTAAAATCTAGAAGGCTCAAAATACATAATCTTGTATTATATTATTTTCTAATAGAGTCTAAATAAGTAAAATAGGAAGTTCGAGCACAAGGATTGATGTGATTTAGTTAAAAAAAAAAAGAAAGAGAGGAAAAAGTCAATTTATAGCTTAATGCAACACTTGTAGCAAGGATTTTTTTTTATAGTTAATAAAAGATCAATGTTAAAGATTAAAGGTAGAGAGAGTAAGTAGGACGTCTCCTAGTTATTACAATTTGTGACACTAAGATAAGAAAATATTTCAACAATGACATTAAAAAACAAAACGTAGAGCTAAAAGCCATACAAATCATTTGGATTCACTTGAAATATATGAATAAAATCTAGAAGATGGGACTAAGAAAAGGGGGGAACAGAAGAAAAGCAAAGCAAGGCGAATTGATTCATACTCTCTCTAATAACCCAACAACAAGTGTGGGATTGAAGAAGTGAAGAATGGGGTGAGGTTGAAGATGATAGGTGTGGATATTGATAGTGAAAATGTGTATCCAAAGAGGGCTAATACTTTTTTTTTTAATTTTAAACATCAAGGTATGTATTTTTACCATTAGAATTAATTTCACTTAAGACCTATAGTGTTAAATCAAAATTTATTAGTCATCAATGATAAATATGTTATTTTAGGGTTCCTTGATTGTGATTTTCTCATTAATTTTTTAGTTGCAAGTGTGAAAGCGGAAAGATGTCATTTTAAGACGCTAAGAATAGCAAAAAAAGTGTTATATATATATATATATATATATCTATATCTATATCTATATCTATATCTATATCTATATGTATAGTTTTGAATTCTTAATTGCTGTGTGTGTGTGTGTTGAGCAAAGTTCACGGAAAACCGTATGGTAAGGAAAAAAGAAAAAATTATGTCATGTTAATAATTATAAACTTCTCAAAAAGAAAAAGGAGAATTGCAATTAAGGATTGCTGTAAAGACTTAATTTTATGTGAGCTTAATTTTTTTTTAAATTTCAGTATAATTCAGGAAAAAAAAGTTAAAAGAATTTTGATAGTAAAAAGATTAAAATATCTTTCATTTATTTTATAGGATTATTAGTCGTTAATTTTTTTTTACTACACTTATTAACTTATGCTTCATTCAAACTTACGAATTGTTGTTAATTTTTAATATTTTAAAAAAAAATTGTGAATCTTATAACAAAACTTTTGAATGATAATTGATATTTGTAACACTTGAAGAATATCAAGATTTTAAGTGTAAACTTACAAATTGCTATTAAATTTTTGTAATTTTAAGAAAAAATTATAAATCTTAAAATAAAATTTATGAATGATAATTGACATTTGAATTAAGGATAATTTAATAATTTATATTAATTTTTAATGATAGAAAAGTTTTTAAGAGTTTCAAAGAAATTATGACATTTTCAAAAATCAAAATGTCATTTATATAATTTAAAAAAATTTTATTATCATCTTTTCATTAACAAATCACATTAGGAGAACATTCCATTTTCATCACTAGCAAAGTGGTAAACAATAGAAAGAATGACAGTTAGGTTTCAAGACATTAAATTAATACTAATTAAATTCTTGACAAAATTTTTTACAAAATAAATTATAAATATTAATTTAATTAGTTACAAATAAAATTTTTTATTACAATTTAAAAGTTACATATAATATTTAAATACTTTTTTATAATTAAAACTTGTATTGATTTTTTTAACTTATATTTAAAAAAAATTGTTAGGAATTTAAATAGTATCAATTTATTATTTTAAAACCCACCTACTGTTCTCTCTAGATAATAAAATTATTTTCCCAACCCTATCTACCGTTTTCTTCGTGCGCTTCCTCTCTTCATCGAGCTTTAGTTCGAGATGAATCACCGTGCCTCTTCGTCTATTATCTTCCTTCATTCTTCACCATGCCTCGATTAACCGGGTGCTCGAGAACTCGTCACTGTACTTCGTGAACCAGCTGCTCGCGACTCTGCTTAATGAACAGGTGCGTTCTTTTTGTTTCCTTACGGTTCTTTGTTCTGCTCTTGTTTGATTCTGTTCGTTTGATTTTGTTCACTGCTTCGCTTCAGTTTCTTCATTTTCCTGCTTTTTGACTCTGTTTCTTCGCTAGATTTTTTTTGCTTCTTGCTCTTTCTTTCTTTGTTTTTTTTTTTTGCTCTGTTTGATTCTGGTTGTTGTTTGATTCTGTTGCATTAAAAGCTTCCAGAACATTCATAAAAACAAACAAACTAAAGAAGAGGAAACAAACCCATGGAACCACAATTGCAAAGAAGAAATATGCATCGGACCTGCTGATTATAGTATCTCCTATATAATATTTGGCTGCGTTTTATGTAGTTGCAGCCACATAAAGAAGAAAGTTTTGGCAAGATTTCGACATGATCTTTACTGTTTTTACAAGTTTTTGGCATCAAACTCACCTCAATATGTCATTGGGACACTGGTGTATTGTATTTTTAATTTATCCATTATGATTATCATTATTTTGCTGTGAGTTCTATATATGTCACTGACTATAACGAGAAATTCTATTGTTTTGTCATCCAGTATGCGTATGCATATGCCCATTAAGTTGTATTGGGATATAAACACTTATTATCTGACTTTTTGGTGTTCTTGGGTTGAAACAAAGAAGTAAACTTCAACTTGTAGAGGTTGAAATATTTTATGGGAAGCTAACATACACTGGGATGACTCATTAGTTATTACAGTGTCTTCTGTATCAGATACAGAAGCATCCTCATAGGGACTCTGTGAGTCCCTTTCTTTTGCAGAGCAAAGACTAATAAGCAGTATTGAAAGTGCAGAAAGAGATGAGATGACCAAAAGGTTGTTAATAGGAAGCTTTTATTGAAAGCATTGGAAAAATCAACTGGTAGGCGATAATATTTTCAAGGAGTGGGGATGGGAAATTGACAAATGGATTCCCTACTATTATGGGGGAATGTTTTGCCTTTATATGCAAAAAAGGGAAGTGAGGATGGTAACGTGAGTGCATTGGTTGAGCAAGGACTTCAATGGGACTATGTTCACTTTGCCATTGGGGGGCAGGATGGAGAGTGAGATCTCTCACTCATAGCTTGTACTTTCCAACTTAACAAGGGAAAGTAGCTGATTTAATTGAATCCAAGTGTCTTGCATTTGATAACAATATATTTCTTACAGAATTTAGCTAGACAATGATCCATATGCTCAGGCAGGGATTGGAATTTAGTACCCTAGTCCCTACAGTAGGGAGGGTATTCATCATGAGTTGTGAACTTGCTTTGTTCATGTTGATTTATGATTTTGAATTCAGTTTATGTGGTCAAATTTCAGTTTTATTGTTTTTTACATTCTCTATGTATTTTGTGCTGAACATCGATCATGGTACTCTTTATTTATTTATTTTTTTAAAACTATATTTATCAATAAAACCAGGTGAAGAGAAGCAGATCGGAGCGTACCCACTGTCCATTCATTGGTTGAAGTAATTGTCCCATTCCCCTTATAACTTTTTTTTGGGAAGGCTGGCATCTTCTTGGTGAAGTTGAAAAATGCTATTTCTCCAAGCTTCAGCCCTGCCTAGATGCTTCTCACCTTTTTGTGCTACAGAAAGAGATCCTTTTTTTTATCCTTCATCATTTAATACTCAGAATTTATATTTTCACTCTACTGACGGTACTTCTCATTTGAGATTTTTCTTGCATTCTCCCGTACATTGTCGTCGTACCATACAATCTGTACCTCTCTCTGCTGCTTTAAAAAATTCTGTTCCGGAACCAGAGCCTGAAGCTAGCTCCAGTTCCTCTTTCAGAGAGGGACGTAAGACCAGAAGCCGCAACCCAAAAGATGAGGTAACTGATGCCAATGATAAAAATTCTGCCAAGGTCTCCCTCACAATTCCAAGGAAGCCCAGGCATGGGCGTAGAAGCGAAGCTATGGCAGTTGAAGATTTCATACGTGATTCGCTTGATAGGACATTTGATTCAATTCAGCAACAAAGTTCAGATGTTTTGGAGAATAAGGAAAACATAATGAAGGAAAGAGTTTGTGAGAAGTCTAAATCTGAAAGCAGTGATGATGATGATGAGAAAGAGGAGGGGGATGAGGTGGAGCATGAGGAAGGTGCCAGCGATACTAGAGAGAAGAAGATGGTGATTGAGGAAGAAAGTAAGAATTGGCCTCTGGATGCTGATGTTGGTTGGGGAATAAGAGCTTCTGATTATTTTGAACAGCATCCAATTAAGAATGTTATTGGGGATGATGGTGTTGAAATTGACTGGGAAGGGGAGATTGATGATAACTGGGTGCAGGAGATCAACTGTTTGGAATGGGAGAGTTTTGCTTTCCATCCCAGTCCCCTAGTTGTACTTGTCTTTGAAAGATATAACAGGTTATATCCTCTATCCCTCCTGGTTTATTCTTCTGTGATTTTTTTCTTTTCTTTCTTTGTTTTTTTTTTTTTTTGGGTGTGGGATTGGTTGAGGGTGAAACACCAGAGGAAGGATAAGCTTGAGATGCATATCTAAACTTCTCTAAACACTTTTAAAAGAAAGGCTATGGCAAAGAAATGTCAGTTGGTTAGCATTGACTATAATTTTGTATAATAAGGATAAGTTTGAGAACCTGAAATAATATTTTGGGTCCCAATTTAGATAAATTGGCTTTCTGCTATAATATGCCAAAAAAGATTTTTGCCAAGATGTTCTTGCTCTTGCCTGGAAAAGGTTACTCTTTGTGAAAGCTTTTCTTCCTGGTTTCTCTAATGATGTTAATATGATCAGGAGAATAGTTATTCATGCAGGAGCACATGATAGCTAATGGTTACTTGATCTTTATTTTTTATTATTCTAAAGGGCGATGGATAACTGGAAAATTTTGAAAGAGCTGGAGAAAGCGATTAAGGTATACTGGGGTGCCAAGGATCGGTTGCCTCCACGGGTATGATCAAATGCCATTCATCTAGCACCAATTTATTGTTTGATTGTCAACTATTTTTGTCATCTGTGATCATAATGCATTGAACTGCGTGGTGTTAGGCGGTTAAGGTAGACATTAATATAGAGAGAGACTTGGCATATGCCCTTAAAGCCAGAGAATGCCCGCAAATATTATTTTTACGAGGGAACAAGATCGTGTATAGGGAGAAAGGTGAGAATAATTGGGATCTTGCTCTTCACTGTTGTTTAGTTGGTCTCTTTGTTTGGGGCTTTTTTTCACCCAAGATGCACTGTTATTATTATCTTTGCAGAACACAGGACGGCGGATGAGTTGGTTCAGATGATTGCATTTTTCTATTACAATGCAAAGAAGCCTTCGTGGATAGACGATACGGCATTATTTCTTCGATAATGATTACCTTTCATGTTTGTCGCGGAAAATTACCTCCATAGATCCACTCATTCTTCTTGGCCAGATGTTTGTCATATTCTTTCTTTCTTTCTTTCTTTCTTTCTTGGCCAAGTTTTTCATGTTCAACTTCACAAATAAAGCCGTTTTAAATTTAATCCCGCGAGTACCATTTTCTGATTGCTATCCTGTGCATGTATGATATATGGAATTATGGTAATAACATAATATTTATAGAATAAAATAATATGTAGAATTAATTAATTAAATAATTAAGCCAATCAAATTCATGACTTGATAAAATAGTGGTGATGTTGATTTGGAAGAAAAGATGGTGGAGTGATTTATGTATAGCAAATGTATAAGGAGGGGCAAAGAAATAAAAGGCCATCCATAGGAAGCAGGAGCATCTGTATGTAGTCGAAGAAAATCGGAAGACTTGGATTCGATGGGGGCCACACTCTATATACGATATCCTTTTTAAAAAAGTCAAGATTTGACATTTTTTAAAGTATTTTTTAGTAAAATATTTAATAATTGTTTGGTTGAAAAAAATTATTGTTAGTATATTATGTGAGATATTTATTAGAAAAAATGACAAAGAGATTTTAAAAGAATTAATTAATTTAAGTTAGGTTTTAAGTATTAAATTTTAAAAATTTATAATTTAATTTTTTAATTTTGTAATTGTTTTGTGATAAATTTGTAATTTTTTTTAAATTTTAACATAGTTAAAGAATAAAAAAATTTTATAAAAAAAATTAAAATACAAATTTTAAATTCATCATAATAAAATTATAAAATTAAAAGATTGAGTGAATTCTTAAAATTTGATATTTAAAATTTAACATGAATTAATTGATTTTTTTAAAATTTTTTTTGTTATTCGTCCTTTATTAAGCGAGTGAATTGGAGTTGTTTTTCCTCCACAAAATTTGACCAGTAATAGTACAGATAAAAAAAAACAAAGAAAGAAAGGGCTGTATGCGTGAATTTTGTGGTTGATAGAGAACGCCATGTAACCTGCATGATGGGATGCTGAAGGTGAAGTGATAGGGGCTCAGTTACAAGATATGGCAATGTTGATCTGTTGGCACGTGAGAAACTTTTTTAATCAAACTGTAAGAAAAGAAGAAGAAACCTTAAAGGATGTGAAGGCCAGTACCAGTAAATAACAAGGACTGTGGAGGCCAATAATTGCAGGGGGGTGAATTATGAACTTTGATTATATTCCCTTCCCTATCGCAACACATCATTACTCTCAACATTATTCATTTAGCCGTGTCTCGTGTCTCATCAAAACGTTGTTTTAGTCCAACAACAATCAACACCCCATCTTTTTAGTCACATCCTCAACATTAACCTTAATCACTCACGTACATGTCCAAGCTTCCCTCGCGTCTCTTCATTATCCTCTTCCACCCATCCCTTCCTATCTTTCTTCCCCACGCCTCTTGTCTACCACTTTTTTTTTTTTCCCAAAGCCCTCCACTTTTCTTACAAAAGTTCACACAGAAGAAATCCTTAATCTGATTCCAACTCGCAATCTTTCTTATTTGAAGAGGCCTTGTGTGCTATTAGGCCAATAAACCTTTCATGCCGCTATATTTTGTTATACCTCTCTTTCTTATCTTTTCTTACACCATCCCCCAATCACGCGCACACTCTAATACGCGTATGTGTTTCCATGTTTTTCTCTCCATCTATCTGTTTCAATGTTTACTGTTTCTTAAAACACAATTGATAGGTGCCCGGTAGCACTAGTTTTTTTTTTTTTTTAATGCATACTGGTGTCTTTAATTTTTTTTTATTTACATATTTTTTTTCTTATATAAATTCTTTTATTGGAAACATTCCAGTTTGAGGTACTGTCAAGCAGTAAATATAGGTACATCTCTCAATGAAAATTCAAACTTTAATCCATCATGTTATAAGGGATTAATTTTTTTTTGGGGGTTAAATTCAGCTCTTTGTTAGTTTTTTTTTTTCAATTGCTCAGGGTATCCACCACCTGTAATGGTGACTAATCCCTTCACTGTGGGGTCTTCTAGAAGGGGACAAATGGCTGGCCATAGAGTGCTCTCCATTCGTATGAGTGAGAAATCGAACCCCCCACCACATGCTTAAGGGACAAAGCGAGATAATCACTACGCCATACTCATATGGTTAACTCTTCGTTATTTATTTGCATGCAGTTAAGAGCATGTAGGATTGTTGAATGGCCAAGGGCCTAGAAGGCGAGCCCAATTAATCAATTTATGGATCTTAAAAAGTAAAAGCTACAGAACTACACTGCGAAACAATCTATACAGCATCAAAATTCTCACCTGTTGGGTTTCTTGTCGGCCCTCATCTTTTTACTAAGAGATCAAACCAGGATGGGCTAACAACTCAGCCCAAACCGTTCTACATTGTTGAGCATCAAAAGAGACAGGGTTGTAAACTAAAAGGGATGGTCGAGTATTACCCAAAAAAAATAAAAGGGATGGTTGATTAGAATATAATTCCAAAAGTCCCAATCCTTTCCTGGGCAACTAAATTGGGCCAGTTTATCTGCTAACCAAGATGGGCCTACAAGAAAGAGAATTACTTGGAGGGAGCGTGGGACCTTGGGCGGTTTGGTCAAGTCACTAATCAAAGCGCGGAGTAAGTGTGAAGTCGTCATCTTTGGATAATCCGCAACATTAAAAACCATCGACGACTCTTATTTGACCACGCGTCACCGACCCTTATGGTGACATGAAACGTGTACACGTGGACAAAGAAGAGCCTTCACTACACAAACAGACAAGAGAAGTAATGCGGAAAGTGACAACATCGCAGACCGAAGGCAGAATCCGATCCTTCCTCTCTTGTCTTCTCCGTCATACGAGTGATCCTATCAATTTTAACCCCTCTTTGTTAGCGCAATCCAATCAGGTTTCTTCCTGTAAGAACATGGGCAAACTGTGGACCTTGACCACCCATCTTCATTCTCTCGCCGGGTATGCTCATCCAGTCTTGTTTGTTCTATTCTTGTGTATCATTCAAACTCTCGATTGGCAAGTGATGAATAACGTACATGCTGTTATTGTTTTTCGCAGGCCGGTGCTGACGTTGTTGTACCCCTTGTGAGTAGACCTACCTTATTTGTGTTGCTGTGTTTGTGGATTTAATTAGGTGGCGAAGCGTGTAATTGAATATATGACAATAGGTATGCGTCAGTGGTGGCTATAGAGTCTCCGTCGAAGGTGGACGACGAGCAGTGGCTATCTTACTGGATCCTGTACTCCTTCCTGACGCTCACAGAAATGGTTCTGCAATCAATTCTAGAGTGGTGAGTCTCTCTGTGTCTGGATGAAATCTCTGCAACGAATATTATTAAAGCGGGCTGTGTTTGATGGGTGAACAACGTGAAGGATTCCGATATGGTACGATGTGAAGTTGGTGGTGGTGGCGTGGCTGGTGTTGCCACAGTTCAACGGGGCAGCCTTCTTGTACGAGAGATTCGTGAGAGAACAAATCAGGAGATACGTGACAGGAAGAGAGGCTCAGCAGCAGCAGAAGGCTTCTTCGTCCATCCTTAAAGAGAAGAAACAAAAGTCTCCTACCAACGCAAAGGGCAAGAAAAAGTTCGTGGATTTCATCCTCCCCAAGAAAGTCAGTTCTTCCATTCATTGTCCATTTTCAGTTAATGGTAATTGTTTGTATAATATTTATTTGCTAATAAATGTCATGTTGGAGCGTGCTATGCAGGGTGATCACGACGGAAATGCTTAGTTACGGTCTTGCTTTTCTGTTTGGACTTTGGATTCCTTCGCCACTTTTCTGTTTGTACTTTGTATCTTTCACACCTCATGTGTATTTTATCATATTCATGTATTTATAAAATGAAATTTCCAATGTGTTACAACTAAATCAGCAAGACCTGCAAGATAAAAGCCCGGCCCGCTTTTCGTTTGGGCCTGATGGCAGCTGCTTAACGCTACATTATCCTATGAGAATGGGATGATCCGAAGATTTTATATACTTATTTTTTTTGAATTTATATATCCATATATTATCTCATAGTTGTAGGAAGCCCATGTCACTAGTTTATTTTAGGAAAAGTGATAATTAAAAACCACAGAACATTAATGGCAGATCATGAATGAAAATTATAAATATTGAATTATTAAAATTTAATAACAGACCATTATCTTTACTTGTAATAAATTATTTTTTGTTTATTGGCTTCAAATTCACAATAAACTTTAATAAATTCCTGATTAGTATTACAAAAATTTCCAACTATATTTTGTTAATTTCCCAACAAAAGATAGTTAAAAATCTTTGTAGTATTAGTTGAGAATTTATTAAAATTCATTGTGAATCTTAAGTTAATTAACAAAAAATAATTTATTATAAATAAGTATCATGATATGTTATTAAAATTTTAATAATTTAAGGTTTGTAGCTGTGATTGATATTCTTCTAGCGTCCCTAATTGTCACTTCCCCTTTATTTTATGATTGATGTGAGGATTTATGTGTGGCTTAGGCCCTGTTTTGATCATTGGGAATCAATTTTAGGACCCAAATCATGGTTTTGCAAAAAAAATTTATCTAAACACTCTCAGTTTGCAAAACTCTGTCTAACTTTGAAAATTTTATTTTAGAAAAGCTGAAATTTCATCAGTTTGCAAAACTTCATTTAATTCCTTTTCTTTGTATTGTTTATTTGTATATTTAAAATTAATTCTTAAAAAATCATCCAAACATATTCAATTTATCAAAGTCAATTTCTAAAAATTTATCCAAACATTATCACATTTTAATAATTAATTTTTTTCATAATTAATTTTTCTCAATTAAAATCCAAATACACCCTTAATCTTACTCAAAACCAATCAAGCCATGATTTTAAAATATTAAAAAAATATTTCTCATATTTTAATACATTTTTTTGGCCAAAAATACTTTAATACATTCAAATCAATCTTAAATAAATGATTTCAAAACATCAAATAAATTTTATCACAGGATTGTTGTCAATTTGAAGAGTAATAGTTTTTATTGGGCTAGAAAAGACACTTCATATTACTTAAAAAATGAAATTACATGCGACAAAAAACAGTGACCCAATAAACAAGTACAACTCACTTTAATAAGACTTAAGACAACAAAACAAAAGGAAATCAACAGAAACAAAAAGTAAAAGCCATCTCCTTGCAAACCAAAAGCACGTTAAGATGCAATGGTCAGTCCCATGAGTCCTATTATGCAAAGCCACAATAATAGCTGGAAGGGGTGGTAGCATAAAAACTAGCTCAAATAATGAGCCCACGCCTTTGTATGCCAAGATTGCAAAAACAATAGCAGCTCCAACAACCCCTCTTGAAGCAAGAAGGGAAACAAAACACTGAAAGCCAAAATCAACTCTCAAGTCAACCAGGATCACCATAGGACTGAGCCAAAAACACCCATAGCGATACCAAATGATCCACAAGAACAAGCCACAACTAATATCCACCAAACCATACAAACCAAAATCATGCAAATTTAAAACAACAGCAAGAGGAGTAACTAATACAGTCAGAGAAAAGCTCATAAGGACATCCTTTAGCTTAACATCATAAAAACCAAAATCTAATGCTCCAAGAACCAGATAACCAACTATAGGGGTAGTAATCTTAAGATTTTTTCTACAATAAAGCCTAACCCCTTTGAAGCTAATGCTGGTTTTACACTTACAGCTTTAAAACACTCCCTTGAATCAAGAGAGGAACAAACATCTCCAGAAGCTCATGCAAACCTCCCAAGAGACATGAAGCAATGTAGAATTTAGTCCTCCAATATTAAACCAGAAGGCAATCCCTCGTTTAGCCACAATCTTGGCATAGCCTCCTCACTTGCATGCAGCAAACAAAATATCAATACTAGTATGACATCTTGGTGGAACCCATCTCTTGTCATCTATTAACTTTTTAACATTTTGCCATTGTTTGCAGTCAAATCATCTCTCTAAAAGATTCACCAGCATAAAGGTATAACACTATCATCTATAATATTCGAACCATCAACAAACAACAAATTATATACCAAATACTCCAATAATCCCATGCAAAATCCATCGAGTCTAGGATGATAATTATCACCACACCCCATACTTTCATTAGCCTCAAAAAACTTATCATCAACCAAATTACAACACAAGTTCGTATAAAGGGGCTGAAGAAGATCATACCAGATGGAGTAATTTGAACTTTAACAGAACATCACCATCAAATCTGCCTCATTAAGAAACAAATTTGATTTTCTTTGTTCCTGAAAAATACTCTCTGAGAAAAATCAACCATTGAACCTCTGAATTCTTCTCTATGAGGAGGGAACCCTTGATACAATCAAAATGAAGAGTGATAGTTAATAAAAGAATATTGCATTTTGGATGATATTTTATTCAGTATGCATATAATGTTCAAAGAACGTGAACCATTTATTTGATGTTATGACTCCATAAAATCCTAATTAATATAGATTGAAACACATAGACCAAATTGTAAATTAGATGTAATTATGCTAATTAATATAGATTGAAACACATAGAACAAATTGTAAATTAGATGTAAGTATGAGTACTATAAGTTTTTCCCTATAATATTCTCGATGTATTCTTAAAATTTTAAAATTAATGAATCATACTTATATTTTTTTGAAAATGGTGTTGAGACTATGGGCTCGCAGACATCAAGTAATGAATGAGGAATGCAAAAACAAATAATCTGATTGCATTGAACCAAAAAGTTCTATACAGCCACTATTTATATACAAAACTGAAGGTAAAATAAAGACAAATACAAAAATATCCCCCACATAACTTCAATACTCCCCCTCAAGTTCAAACTATGTACATCTATAGTTTGCAACTTGCTGAGCAATTTTTCATGAAGCTTATGTCCTAAGGCTTTGGTAAATACATCAGCCTCTTGATCCTCTGAACGAACATACTGTAGGGAGATTAATTTTTGCTGAAGCTTTTCTCTAACAAAATGGCAATCAATCTCTATATGTTTTGTACGTTCATGAAATACAGGATTGTTTGCTATATGTATGGCTACCCTACTATCACAATACACCATAACAGGTTCAATGCTGTGCAGATCTAAGTCCTTCATTAATCCCAACACCCACACTATTTTTGATACAGCCACGCTCAATGCTTTGTACTTAGCCTTCGCTGAGAATTTTGACACAGTTCCTTGCTTCTTTGTCTTCCAGGAGATTGAGGAATCTCCTAACTTCAAAAGATAGCCAAAAACTGATCTTCTTGTAGTGTGGCACGTAACCCAATTAGAATCACAGAAACATCTCAGTGTCAAATTAGTTTTGGAACTAATCAGTATTCCTAATCTCGATTTATGCTTCAGATACCTCAGCACATTTTTAGCTGCTGCCATGTGTGCCTTTGTAGGATTTTGCATGAACTGACTCAGGTTCTGCACAGAAAAAGATAAATCAAGGCGAGTCATAGTCAAATATATCAGCTTACCTATTAGTCTTCTATATTCTCCAGGATCTTTTAAAAGTTTTTCCCTTTTATTTCTTCCTTCTTCATATGCTGTGAGTCTCAAGTTGGGAGCCATGGGTACTTTTAATGGTTTACATCTGCTCATACCTGTCTCAAACAATAAATCTAACACATATTTTCTCTGATTCATCATTATTCCTTTTCTAGAACGAGCTACTTCTATTCCTAAAAAAATATTTCAAAACACCCAGGTCTTTTATTCTAAATTTGCTGTGCAAAAAGTTTTTGGTTTGTTTAATACCCATTTCAGAACTTCCAGTAATTAATAAATCATCCACATATACAAGGATTAATACAATTCCATCACTAAAATGTTTCACAAATAATGAATAATCATGCAAACTTTGATTAAAACCACTAGATTTAAGTTCTTGTGTTAGTTTAAAATTCTATTGCCTCGATGCCTGTTTTAATCCATATACAGATTTATTCAGTTTACAGACTACATTCTCCCCCTTACTATTAAGTCCTTGTGGGATAGTCATATAAACATCTTCATCAAGATCTCCTTGTAAGAATGCATTATAGACATCCATCTGATGCAAAATCCAGTTATGTTGGGCAGCTAAGGAGAGCACAGTTTTAACAGTAACCATTTTTATCACTGGTGAAAATGTCTCTTGAAAATCTACCCCTTCCTTTTGACTATACCCCTTGGCTACCAATCTAGCCTTATAGCGCTCAATGCTTCCATCTGCTCTATATTTGATCTTATATACCCATTTTGATCCTATTAGTTTCTTACCTTTTGGTAATTTCACTATATTCCAGGTCTTATTTTGTTCTAGCGCTTGTAACTCTATATTCATTGCTTCTACCCACTTTTTATCTTTAATAGCTTTTTGGTAGCTTTTAGGTTCTGGGTTAGAGTCAATAGATGAAGGAAAGCACTTATGGGAGTTAGATACAGCATTATAGGATATTTACTTCTGTAAAGGGTACTTAATATTGGGAGCATCATAAGTAGAACAAACATAGTCCTTGGACCAAACAGGGGGCCTTTTATCCCTAATGGGTCTTATCCTTTGTCCCTCTTAATTATTAGATTCAGTTATGTCATTACTCTCAACAAAATATGGCTCTCCTAATTCATTTAATTCTGCACGTAGTTCAGGTATAGGATCAGAGATACCACGGTTATCTTCTTTATTTTCAAACTGGAGAAAATCAGAACCATACCATAGTATTTCCTCAAAAGACTGTTGAGCCTTATTTTGTTTAGAATCCTTGACATCCTTAAAAGAGAACTTAGTTTCAATAAATCTAACATGTCTAGATACAAATAAATGGTTAGTTCTCAAATCAAGTAGAATAAATCCCTTTTGATTCTTGGGATACCCTAGAAAGACACA